GTACCCGAATCGAGAACCGATAGATTTGGGTTGGGTCTCAGGTCTAGACCAAGAACCGAATAATAACTGAAACTAAATAATTTTTTTTATTTTTTATATTGAAATAATTAAATTATTTTATTTTTTTCTAAACAAATTAGCAAATTAATTAAATAAATACTTGGTAAGTATTACCAATACTTAAAAATATTTTATTTTTATAACTTTTAATTTATATTTCATTTTCTGTATGCAGACAAGTTGCATGAAGGTTTGAAACAAATGAATTTATTTTATGTAGTGTTACTGTAATATTAATATCTACTTTTTAGTATTTGTATGTATTGAATTAATTTTATTGGGAAGCTAGTTATTTATATATTTTTGAATTGAGCTACTTTAATTTGTAAAAGTTACAAATGAAATATCATTAGTTATATTTACGTAGATTTGCTATAAATATTAAAAAAAATTAATTATGGTATAGAACGGAACGGAACCGAACTGAACCCGAAAGGTTCTATAATTATATTTGGACCCGACGGTTTCATTTATTAAATACCCGAAAGTTTTGGGCCGGTTCGGTCTTCAGAACCGAACCGAACCGAACCGAACCGAACCGACCCGACCCACAAACAACCCTAGCTATTATGTAGTCAACTATATCATTCTCACTAGTGTGTGTGTGTGTGTGTGTGTGTGTGTGTGTGTGTGTATCGGGAAGAAACCTTAAGGGTGTGTTTGAGTTACATTATTTTGGAAGAATATATATTTTTAAATTGTAGATTGATAAAAAATGTATGGTTGAAAAAGAAGGAAAAATTATTGATACGATATAAATTATTATTTTATTGAAAAATGTGTGGTTAAAAATGAATAGAAGAATGATAATAAAAATTTTAATATGGATCAAACAGGGGCTTAAAGAGGAACAGACTCGTACTACTTTCTATTAAGGATGACAAATAGGTCGAGCCATTCATGGGCTCGACTGTCCCGATTCAGTCAGTGGGCCACTAGTACTTTTTTTTTTTTTTTTTTATCGGTAAAATTTATTATATTGATCAAAACCATGTACATGCACGATGGGCATACCTAGGCAGATCACAAATCAAGTACATTAACCAAGTACACCGAAATTACCCCTGCACATCTGAAATGAAAAGAAACATACAATTACTCCGGGCATACCCAGGGAAACGAAAATGGTGTACAAACGATAAAGATCTAGCAACTAATAGCCATAGTTTCATATTGAATCAAAACACTCGGATACAAAGAAAACATAGCTTTGTATACGTGTGTTTTGATTCTTGTAACTATGGAATCAACATTCGGTCTAAGATCCTCAAAAATCTTCCATTTCCGTGCCGTCCATAAATGGTAGACAGTACTAGCAAGTGCAATCCTTTTCACTTTACTCTGCCAAGTGGTTCCACGTGCCTCCTTGATCTATTTCAGTGCACTTGGTAATGTAGACATAGATCGCCTAATTCCAAGCCAAGCTTTAATCTTCAGCCACACTGCCGCACTAAACTGACAGGCAAAAAATAAGTGTTGAACAGTCTCATCATTAATACCACAAAAACAGCATAGATGGTCAATCTCCGTATACTCGAGTTTATCCTTTGTGAGCAGCTTGGACTTAGTTCCAAGCCATAAAATGAAGGTGTGCTTCGGTGTGATGGAAGTATTCCATACCGTTGCTGCCCAGACAACTTTCGGCCCCTTCATCCTGAAAAAATCATATGCCCTTTTAATGTTAAATCGCCCGTCACTGGCCCAACTTTCCAGAATATGTGCAGCCACCTGTGCTCGTGTAATAGGCTTGGCCGATTCTGCCTGAGGCTGTGCATACTGTCCAGTTTCGTTCACTGTACCCGTTTCCCCTTCAGCTGGCCGAAATTGAGGTTGTACAATCTGCCCAGCGATTTCCAGCAGCTTTTTAATCAAGGGAGAGTTAGCTTTTTTTTTTTTTAACCCGCTGAATATTGCACGATCCAAGTACATGCATGACCAACCTTAGTTCAGATCAGTCATTGCCATTGCGTAGACCAAGAAAGAACCTCTTGTATAAGTGAATATCAAAGCCTTTTCAAGTGAGGTAAGATGAGAAAAGGCTAGCTGCGTGTGTTCAAGAGTTACTCCCGTGCAGACACTCTTCCTAGAACCAAGATAAAATTACTCTATACTGGCATTAACAAAGAAAAGTTACAATTCATAGAGCTTTTGGTGATGTCAAATGCTAAGGTCAAAAAATAAGACTTTTTGCTTCAAGTAGATTAGTGTCTATTCATTTTCTCCCGTTAGAGGGAGTGACCCAAATGGCTCTAACCCGCAAACAGCAGCAGGGGCGGAGCCAGCCCATCAAAGTAGGGGGGTCCGAGAGTTGAAGGGGTGGGGGCTCACGCTGCCCCCAAAATTTTTTTTTTTGAAACATTATC